GTTGGAGTCTATGTTTTCAATCCTTTCAGGTTAAAAAAAAAATCCTTTCAGGTATACACTTACAGTGTAACTGCTAGGTCATATGATAATTCTTTTTATCTTTCTGAGGAACAATAGCAGTATAGTTTTACAATACAGACACATGGTCTTTTGGTAAACACAACAGCCACAAGAAGTCCTACTCATTTAGTAAGCAGTTCACTTCTGGATAGATTTCCTTCTTTCCTACCTACTCAGGCCCTTGGTGATTATCTAATTTCCAGGAACCTGCCCCTGGTTTGGTGGCTATTCTGAATATGCTTTCACTCCAGTCTCCTGGTTCTCGCTGTTTTTCAACACTGCCTTTATGCACATGAAAGCAAACACACTGCACTGGTAACTCTCCAAATGAAAATTATTATAAAATGCAACATCATTCAGATACTGAAGTCACATTGATATCTTTAATGCATTTGATATCAAATGGATGAAAAACACAGAAAAAAGATTTTTTTCAAGTGAGATACAGGATTTTATAAAGGACTTCTGTTGAACTCATTTCTTACATCCAAACAACCATTTAAAGCAAGCTAAACTTCAAAAAGATATACAGGTCTTTACTACTGCAAGCAAAGGATCTCTTTTCCTTCCAAGATTAGCAGCCTGGGATTTCTAAATTGACATCTCATTATTACTACCACCAATTTCAGATTTTATAAAACCAGAAAAATACAACAATGTACATTCACAGAGTATCTGGAAGGATACACACAAAACGCAAGTTAGCTCCAAGTTAGAAGCTCTCTCCGCAAAGCAGCAGGATCAGAGAAGATCATGAGGGGGATTTTTCACTTTTTACTGCACAGCTTCTACATCTCAACCTCTCAAAAACATTCACTCATATTGTATATCTTTAAAGATATTATATATCTTTAAAAATAAAAAAACAGGGCAGCCCTGGTGGCTCAGCAGTTTAGCACCTGCCTTCAGCCCAGGGCGTGATCCTGGAGACCTGGGATCGAGTCCCACATCGGGCTCCCTGCATGGAGCCTGCTTCTCCCTCTGCCTGTGTGTCTTTGCCTCTCTCTCTCTCTGATGAATGACTAAATAAAATCTTAAAAAACTAAAAATTAAAAATAAAAAAACAAGTGTTTATTTTTATTACGCTTGAAATGTTTAATGACTTCTCAAACACATTTGATCCTAAAATAGTAGCCCCCCCAAAAAAAAAAATCTGAATTTTTAGGTTTCAAATCACTATATGAATAGTTGCTGTATTTTTAAAGATTTTACTTATTTATTCATGAGAGACACTGAGAGAGAAGCAGAGACATAGGCAGAGGGAGAAGCAGACTCCCTGCAGGGAGCCTGATGTGGGACTCGATCCCAGGACTCTGGGATCATGACCTGAGTCAATGGCAGACAATCACAGAGCCACCCAAGTGCCTCACTATACGAATAGTTTAAGTAAATTCTGAAGCTTGAAGGACTTGGGAAAACGTCATTTATTACATATAGACTTACTATCTATAGACATTTACGTCTACAAATTATATAGCTAAACTAGTCAATTAATAAAGCTTGAACCCTAGGCTATAAATAACAGGTGCAAAACTGACTCTAGTGGCTAAAAAAGCATAATCTTATTTAAATAAAAACTTTTTAAAAATTAAATAAAGAAAAAGCATAATTTTACAATCCAGGATAGGGTATGCTTTAGGAAATCATTATAATAATTAAGACAGTATTTTTTTTTTCCCCCTAAACAAACAGCCAAAATGCAGGGAAAAAAACCTAACCAGATGCATAGGACATGAGCCGGGAAACTATTATTTCATCTGCATATATACAAAGAACCAAATAGTTCAGCAATACCAAAGAATTTGATTTATATGGCAATACAGAGAAATTTTAAAATATTCACTTAACATACTTCTGATCACTGAACATAATCTGCACTCTGTTCTTAAAACTACTCAACACAATATACATTAAGAATTTAACTTTATGTGCTCACACATTATAACATACTTAGCAATTGCATTTCACACAAGTTTAAGTTCAGTAACTTTGAAATTTGACAAGTAAAGTGCTAAAATTGCTGGAATGCAAACAGTGCACCTTCAAGGGAAGCATTCTACTACTGATCTGCAATCCACTGTGTATTGAGAGGTTACTTTGTGCCAACTGCTGTATTTTAATAAAGTAACACGTTTAAATTTAAAACCACAGGCTAAAAACTGATTGGAAAAAAAGGTCATCCTACAAAGGATTAATACTAAGATACATTAATTGAAAGTCAATTGTTTGACTCATTCAAATTATAATTTATAGTTGATGAAATTATACTTTCTGAAGGACCAAGCTATGGAGCTCTCATGCTGAGTAACATCAAAAAGATTAAAAATAAACATGTATGCCTTCAATATGTCATTTAATTTATACATTTTTTCAAAGACTTTTATTTGACAGGCAGAGAGAGCACAAGCAGGGGGAGTAGCAGGCAGAGGGAGAGGGAGAAGCAGGCTCCCAGCTGAGCAGGGAGCCTGAAGTGGGGCTCGATCCCAGGACCCTGAGATCACGATCTGAGCTGAAATCAAGAGTCAAACACTCAACCAACTGAGTTGGTACCCTAATTTATACATCCCCAAATTATCCTCTTCCATCTCAAATAATCTACATTAAAATATTAAATAATTCAATCTCATAAGGTACCAACACAGAAACATAACACCAAATTTAAGTTAGCTGAATATTGGAACTGCTATATGACACTGAGTCAGTAACACTAGTAAACCAACACAACACAAAGTAGAAACCAAAGTTCCTATTACCTAAACAGCCATACCAAAAAACTGTTTTCAGAAAATAAAGCAATCTTTATTCTTAAAAGTCACCATAATGTACATTCTCTTGCGAATTAAAGATGCCTAGTGTTGGGCAGCCCCGGTGGCCCAGCGGTTTAGCACCTGCCTTCGGCCCAGGGCATGATCCTAGAGTCACGGAATCGAGTCTCACATCAGGCTCCCTGCATGGAGCCTGTTCTCCCTCTGCCAGTGTCTCTGCCTCTCTCTCTCTGTCTCTCATGAATAAATAAATAAAATCTTAAAAAAAAAAAAAGATGCCTAGTGTTTTCTCTGAAATGCAATTTTTTTTTCAAATGTTTAAGTATGTAGCAGTTTGTCTCCCACAACCAACTACCCAATAGCCATCCAGTTCCGTGCTTCACCTAAGCACCCGTAACATTCACAGGTTTCAACCTCAAGGGGTAATTAGGAGGGTTTTCCAAGGATTAAAGTTCTACACGTTCAGCAGCACAAATCTCTCACACATGAACTCAGTTAAAATGGTGTGAAACTAAAAAGTATACTTTTCCTATTTTTTAAGTTATTAATCCCATGAAAACCTTCAAAGTGCTTACAAACTTTAAACTTGACTGCACGTATTTGCAAGAAAACCATTACGTTTTGATGAATGTTATTAGTTTTAAAACAAGCTTTAAAAACTTTGTAATTTCATCAGCTAAAGTTGTCTGAACTCCCAAGAGGCACATTGGAAGAGACACAACACCAAACGGGAGCAGTAACTACACGGCATGTATCTACCATGGAGAATGCCCAAGGATCCAACACAAGCGACCAAGGGAAGCTACAGGCTTCCATCTAAACCACGATTCCACTAAGAAAAGTAAAACGTCATAGCCCTACTCCTTACTTATTTCTCCACTTTCTCAATAGTTTAAAGATTCTTAAAAAGCCATGAGAAAAATCCTTAAGGCTAATTAAGTGGTTCAGTTACAAACAATAGTTTAAGAGCATTTGAAACTCCCGACTTTCCTTACAAAACGGGACAAAATTTTAGAAAGACTATTCCACACCTGACCAACATTAAGAACATATGTAACCAAAATGGCAATATTAAAGTTTCCATTTAATCCATTAACCATACTTCAGAAAGTTCAGTGTTAACAAAATATTTCATTTAGTTTTTCAACTTGAGTATTTCCAACAGGCTTGTTTTAAATTCTACACACAGCCATTAAATATTTTAATTCTTGGTAATTTCTTCTAAGTCTAGAACACTTCTGAAATGTCACATCCCATTCCAATGCTAATCCTGAGAACTGAAAATTGGGTTAAACGTTATACCTAATTTTTAAATTATGAGAGTAATAGATTTGAAGTGATCTCCCTTAAATAAATGGCTCTGTTACAACATATTAAGTCCTTCCTCACTTCACTCTTGACTTAATAAAATCCAAGTCTTCCACCGTGCCAACAGTAGCAAAATAGCTATTCTAAATAAAATCAAATGATCAGCAAACGCTCCAAAAAGCTGGTATCAAATCGCTTTGAAACTGAAACGCACATATGTATAGAGTCCGAAGCAATTTTGGAAAAAAAAAAAAAAAAAGCATCCCCATGGAAGAGCTTAAATCTATAAAATCTCAAAAATAAAACCTTTTCATCAAAGCCACAGATCATTTCCTGAATTGATCTGCTAAAGTCCAATACAAAATCTATATATACAATGAAGTTCGAGGATCCGCGGGGTGATTTAACTCTGTGCTCTATTAGCCTAACCGAGCGCTCCAGTGACAGATTAAGATGGCAAAGCAATTTTCTAAACCGAAATGTACCTGCGTCTCTAAAGACGTTTTACATCATCCCTTAATGACATATATCCCAGATTCAGGGTCAGGCAAGCGTGCACCTTTAAGTTCATTTCACGGCCTGGTCTTCTACACGGGCAAGCGTCCACGCCGGGCAAGCCCCTCACCGCTCAGCGCAGCGCGGACACGGTCAGGGGCTCACCTGACCACGACTCCCAGGTTAATCAATTGCAGCTGTTACTCGATGTTAGCCCCCCCCCCCACCCCCCACCCCAAAATAAGCATTAACGAAAGATTAAAAGCAGAAGTTTTTAATGACAAAAAGAAAACCCCCAAGATAAAGCTTACAAGAATTTTTTGAAAAAAAACAAAACAAAAAACAAAAAAAAACACGTGAAAGGAGGCTCACCTGCAGTTAGGTGGAGGGTCTAAAGTGATGTCTGCCAGTTCCTTCTGAATCCTGGAGTCAGGGAAGTGAGAGAGAAACACAAGACACGTGAAGGCGTTGGCAGGCGCCCCGGGGCGCTGGGGCAGGCGGAGGACGAGGACGCAGGCCCGCCGCGGGGCCCGGGAGCGCCGAGGGGGGCACTACACAGCCCGAGCGCAGCGCCCTAGCGTGGGGGGAGGAAAAACGACTTTTTTCCCACCGGCAGGGAGCTGGCGGTCCGGGGTCTCTAGCGATCACCGGGAGGTTTCGGTTCCGGTCGTGCCTCGCACACCGAGGCTGCTGTATTTCTCGGGGTTTTCCGTTTAGGAAATCATCGTGAGGCTGGTCGCTCGCGGACTCGCGTCCCGAGTCGCGTTAGAACGTGCCGGGCACACTCGCCCGCCGCGCCTCCTCCGCGGGGCGCCCGGGGCCGCCCCCCCCCCCCCCCCCCGGGTCACCCGGCACCGCGCGCGCCCCCCCAGGCCGCCCCGCGTCCTCGGTGACGACGCCAACATGGCCGCTCCCCGCGAGGCCCCTCGGGCCCCGGCCGGCCTGCCCGGCGGGTGCAGCCGCGAGCCGCGGGCCGCGGGGGGGGGGGGAGGGGGGAGCCCGCGCCGCCCCGCCCCGCCCGCCTCCTCCGAGCCCCGGGATCCCGGGATCCCCAGCCCCCAGGCCGCGTGCGGAGCCCCGGGCGCCCCCCCCCCCCCCCGCCCCGGCGAGGCCGGGCACCAGCAGGCGGCCCGCACAGGTGCACCCAGCCTCCGTCCCGCACCCCGTCGGACTCCCGCACCCCTTCTCCGGACCTACTCTTTCCTGGCTATCCTCAATTCCCTTGGGTCTGCTCCCGTCCCTCCCCACCCCGCGGTGGACACAGAGCCCGGGACAGCCCCCCCCCCATCTCCGCACCGACCCACGACTTCACAAAGAGCCCCATCCCCCACCCCTAGGCCGACGCCACCAGGCAGTTCACACCAAGCCCTGGCCTTTGTCTTCTTACCTAGGCGCTTGGAGCATCAACAAAAACGACAAAGTTTGAGGCCTTTAAGCCTCTTCCATCTGCTAAATGGTGCCTTCCATTTTTATGACCTTTTTTGCTCCTATCACATAAAACCCTAAAGGGCTATGATACAACCGAAAAAAAAAAATCACAAGGAGGTAGCACGGTAGTAAAAAACTAAACACAAACACGTTCTAAAGCAATCAATCACGATGGATGCTTTTCTCTATCCAAAGGTTTTCTGAGGGTGGGAAGATAGGCTGGGTAGATGCAATGCGGAGTAGGTGTTAGAAGGCATTTGTTTTTTTTCCATGTGTAAGTTCGGAGAAATTAAGGGTGGCGATTGGGGAAGTTCTTTAAACCTTCCTATTGGAGGACACTTCCTGTCCCCTACAAATCTGGTCAGTGTTAGAGAGAGGTCTGCTCACAGTCTTTACTGATACCTACTTACATCTGTGTCCTGCTAAATTCTTTTGCTACCAATAAGCATTTCAGTTGAGACATTCCCTAACACTGGGGCTGTTTGACTCATTACTGTATGTTAGACTACAAGTTTGGAATCTTGGTTTCCTGATTCTTTATCTGCATCTGTTAAATGACTGTACCTTAAGACCTATGTACACAGCCAAAAATATCCTTTACCTGAGCAGCACAACTGCATAAAAACACACACTGACTGCACTTCTCCTTGCCAAACCAGCCTCTACTACACTTACTGAGAAGGTAGTTACTTCTTCAGCCTGTAATACCAGACAGCTTTAACCACTTCACCTGTACAACTACCATTTGCACAATACTGACAGAAGATTTGTAAGTCACTCATACGTAAGTTTCACAGAATAATTCTTGTCCAGGCCACTCCCACTAGGGGCTTTTCCTCTCCTGTGGACTAGAAAGGAAACCACTTTACAGTATGTAGTTAAGTAACTTTTTGTCTACCAATTCAGACTCCTTTTTTGTTCTATTTCCTGGTATATGTGCCCCTTCCAAGCCAATGTATTTCACAGAGCAGCTTCTATAGGGTGTCCACTTGATCTTAGCCAAAAGGCTGAGAAGCAATTATAGGGTCTCACTAACATTAATTTCGCCTTTATTCTTTCCTGGATACACTGCCCCCTTTCCATTTTTTGCCTTAATAGTATATTAACCTTAGCTCTGCTTCAACACTGTTAAGTGTATCCTATCTTTCAACACGATATCCAGGGAGCTAAAAACTGATGTTAACTTTATAGGTAAAATTATCCTTGGTAGCTTCCCACCTTTCATTTTTTGTACACCTGCCGATCCCTTTCCCAGGCATTTCCAAATAAGCTTTTTAACTTCCTTATCATAGATGGACAAATTCTGTCTAATGAAAAATCCCCCTCAGTAACTTGCTGACACAAAGGAGACTTTTATATTTGACACCTGTGCTTTTACCCCCAAATCTATTCATGTGCGCCAATGATATACTGGTGCACAAAAAAATACTAATGACCTAAGGGAAATATCCTGCCTTAGGTCAGGCCAAAAGCTGTTCCAGCATGGGTCAGGGAGCACAGGTACTGCAGGTCGTGGTGGGGAAGGGTAGGGAGTTGGGGAGATTAAGGAAAGCCCCATCCAAAGTGGCCTGGGTAGATGCCAGGTTCTGGGAGTACCAGCACAGGACTAATCAACGAGGGCCAGCTAGGATTCTTTGGAAGCCGAGATGCCATCAAACCACCCCTCTGAAAGAACAATCTTGCTAAGACATCTTGCCATTTAACTCTAGATGGCTACACTATTTGGAATAAGCTAAAGCCACTCTCTCATCCCCCCGTGGTTAAGTCACCAAAGCACTTTTCCAACTTTTCAAATTTCTGGGAGAATGACAGAACAAACTTTCAAACTCTGAGTTCTAGGCTCACTACTCAGTGGAGACTAAAGACTCACATTCCATTTTCTTCTACGTTTTTTTTTTAAAAAGTTACCCCTATTTAATCCACCATTTATATTCCTTGCTATCTTTCTGGTTTGCCACTTTAAAGTTTAATGACTGTCCACCTGAGAGCAGCAGGATTTATGAAAGGGCATGGGGGTTCCCAGCAATCTGCTATAAATTAAGGGTCATGGAGATCAGAGAATATTACTAAAGGATCCTCAAAGGAAAAAAAAAAAAAAAAAAAAAAGTACGTTCTTCCAGAGACCTAAGAGGAAGAGTAAGGAAAACGAGCCACTGCTTGAATTCAACTTGGAAAAAGAACCAAAAATTTTTACAGCAATATGAGAGGATGTAACATGAAAAAAATGAGTTTCCTTGAAATTTGGCAAAATTGAAGCTTTTAAAGAGAGGAAAAAAAAGAATCCCCCCCCCCAAATAACCTAGAATACCCATTTTACATCATCTATGGATTTGCTTGCCTCAACTCTCCAAATCAAAAGAATCTCTTGGAAGTTCTGAGAACATTTTCCACCTATTAAATTTTTTACCCCACTAATGGGAGTTATTCATTATGCAGTTTGTGGAGAAAGCTCTATTCAAAAAAAGATCATAGCGCAACAGGTGAGGAGAAACCAAGATGGTAACAGAATTCGTTTTGATAGAGTTGTCTGGGCAGGTATTAGTAATTAAGTGGGATGCCAGCCTTGAGAAGGGTCACACGCTAGTGATTAATAGAACAAGTAATCTGAAATCAGATTTTGGGGGTCACTGATAAAAGTGATGAAGATTCTTACAAACTTCAGCAAGAAATGAGAGGCAAGCCACAACAGCTGCACGTGGACTAAAAGAAAAAAACCAGAGGCAATAGAGTAAAATAATTAAAGCTTCCGAGGCCCTTTCCCCCCGCCCCCCCCTTTTTAACAACACGCAAACCGTGAGGAGCGTTCGAGCTGCTCCTCAATGGGAGGCAGACCAAATGCAGCAAGAGGCAGTTCGGAAAATAGGAAGCCCAGGGGGTTGGGGGTGGAGTACGGTACCTCTTGGCGCTGGTAGAGAGGAGTTTGGAGTTTTTGCTCATGCTGACTTTACTCTCCTTCTTCTTGGGGGTGTTTGTTTCTTTCTCGGCTTGCTGGTTGGAGGACGAAGATGAGGAGGAGCTGGTGCTGGCCCTCGAATCGTCATCCGACATAGCGAACCCCCCACCCCACCCCGCAAACAGCCCCTGCAGGGGGAGGGAAACAAAACAGAAACACCCAGGCCGTGCAGTCAGTGCGAAGCAGGAACTCGGGTGCTGTCAGGAGGGCTTCGGCCAGGGGTGCCCCCGGCCGCCCACCGCCCTCCACCCGCCTCTCAAAGTCTTCAGGCCCATTAAGGCTTCGGCGAATCGGACGCGGCTTGTTTATTTTTGGCCCCGAGTGGGGGACTCGGTGGAAAAACGCGGGCGAGCGGGGCGAGCGGCCCCTCCCGTGCCCCCCGGGGGCTCCCCTCGGGGCAGGGAGGGAGCAGCCAGCGGGCGGAGGGCGGGGGCGGCAGGGCGGGGGCGGGGGCGGGGGCGCCTCCGCGGGGCGAGGAGGGGCGGTCCCGGCGGCGGGCCGGCCTCGGGGCGGTTTCGGTCGGCTTTCCGGGGGGCGCGGGGGCGCGGGGGGCGCGGGGGGCGCGCGGCCGGGGCCAGGCAGCGGGGGCAGGAGTGGAGTTTAGCGAGGTCGGGAGGAGCGCAGGGGCGGAGAGGAGTAAGAGAGGAAGCCGAAACGGGGGGGACGGAGGCGAGGAGCGGGTGCCCGGGTGGGGGAAGGGCGCGCCGGAGGGGGCCGGGGCGACGAGGCCCGAGGCCCCCCGGCGCCTCCCCCGACGCCTCTCCCCGCAGGCCTGCGGCTCGGCCGGCGGCTCGGGGCTGCGCGGCCGGGGCGGGGGTCCCGGGCACACGCCCGGCTGCCACCCCTCGTGGGGGTGGGGCGAGGGCGCGGGGGGGGGGGGCCTCGGCCGCCGCGGCACAGGAATAACAATGAGCCCTTCCGCCCCCGAGGGGTTAATCCCGCGGGCGCCCGCCGGGGGGCACGGGGCTCCCCGCCGCCCCCGCCCCCGCCCCGGCCCCCTCGGCGGCCAGCGGGGGGCTCCCGGGGCAGCGCTGACAGTTCGAGCCACGACGCCCCCCCGGCCGCGGCGCAGGCGGGCCCCGCACCCCGCGCGGCCCGGGGTCCCCACCCATCCCCCGCGGGCGGGCCCCGGACCCCCGGGGCTCCTCGGCCGCTCGCCGCGCCCCCCCCGCCCGAGCCCGGCGGCCCGGGAGGCGCGGGTCGGGGGGGCGGCGAGGGTGTCCCCGAGGCCCGGCGACGCGGCCGGGGGGCGGCGGGGGGCGGCGGGCGGCGGGGGGGATCCCCGTACCTCTCTTTGTGTCTGGCTCCTCCGTGCCGCCGCGGCGGCTGCTGCTGCGGCTGCGGCTGGGCCTGGCCACTCGTGTCTCTCTCGCTGGGAGAGAAGCGGAAGTGCAGCAACAGCAACTATTAAACAGGCAATGGCTTCCCCCAGCCACACACGCTCGCACACACACTCCTCCTCCTCCCGTCCCCTCCCCTCCCCTCCCCTCCCCCTCCCCGCCCGGCCCGGTCCCACCCACCCGCGCTCCCCTCCCCCCGCACACCTCCGGGGGGGCGCGGGAGGGCGCGAGGAGGACGCGGGGGCCCCGGGAGTCCCTGCCCCTCCCCCGCTCCCACCGCGGCGCCGCGGGACGCCCGGGCCGGGGCCGGGGCCGGGGCCGGGGCCGGGGGTGGGGAGCCTCTCCCAAGTGGTTTGGGGGCCCCGGATCCCGGGCTGGAGAGGGGAAGCCCTTCCGAGGTGGGGGCGCTGGCAGCGGCAGGGACTGTGTGCAATGGGGCGGTCGCGAGAGGAAGTTCTTCCCCAGAAGGGCTTTTGGGAAGGGGAGGTGACACACCGGTGGGGAAGGTGGTAATTTGATGGGAAGGACTTCGGACTAGACAATGCTGGGGAGACTCTCCCTAAAAAGTGATCAGTGTAAGGGCCGGGGAAGAAGCCCCACGACAGGGTTTCCCTAGGAGCTGACTCTGGCTTCTCCCTGGGCCGTTTACCTGCCAGGAGCAGAGGTCGGCTCAGGCACGCCTGGGAGGGAAGAGCTCAAAGTAGTTTTCTGCTCGGGCACGTGCCATTTTACGATTTTAGATCCTTTCAGTCACTTTTTATGAAAAGTGGCGGTGTTCTATAAAAGTGATACAAAGGATCCGTGACAGGTAAAACCAACGTGTAACAGGCTCACAAATGTGAGAAATTACTTGGGGGGGAGAGAAAAAAAACCCTTTGCTGCGGAATTAGGTTGCGTTTCGGACTTTTGGTGTCCGTTTAAGTAGACAGTTTGACTTTTGGAAATTGGATCAAAAGTTTGGGGACTCTGGTACCGGTTTCAACGAAAACATAGATGCTATTCAAATAAACTTAATGTTTTTAGAATGATCAGGAGTTCTTCTGAATTGTTCCTCGTTTAGCATTTTTACCAAGATTAAGCCATCAAAAAAAAAAAATTAATGTATCACATTATGATTTAGTTTCTCACTTATCATTTCAGTTGAAGGAAACTGAAGATATACGTGCAGTGCCACAGATATAGGGTCTGGTACATCAAGGAGACCTCGAGTCAGGTTTCCATGGGCCACTCTAAATTCATTCAAATTGCCATCCTTTTCCATGGCAACAGTGGCTTCTGTTACCACAGGGCACACAACAGGTATAAAGTTTATGGCAAATCCACTAACCGGGAAAACAACCATTCTTACCCCCCACCTGAACCCCTTCTAGCTCTCTACATTCAAACTCCAACTTTATCAGGACTCAGAAAGTAATCGTGCATGTTCCTTAATCCTTACCAGGAAACCTGTATCTACCAGGAATTGTCACAGAATCAAGTCCAAAATCTGGGAAAAACTGTATAGGTCATCATTTCAGCCTCCTACCTCCCACCTTCAGACAGAGCTGTCCCTTAGTCACTCAAATGCATAGAGATTTTGAAAGATTGCCACACATTAGTGTTTGGTTGCAGGATTCCTGGTAGAGTATATGTATATTTTTTGAATGACTTTCCCTGCTGTATGTTATTTGAATACAACAACCAAAAAAATCTCTCTTAAACCAGGTTGTGTATTTTTTGTGCTTCTCATGAAAAAGAGAGAAATTCAAGAGAAAACAATAAGCAACTATGAAATTAAACTGAGTTGGGATGAAGGAAATAAGCTATCAAAATTGAGACTTCCTCTTACAAAAATGTGAGTTTCTGACACCTTATAATACACGTACACACTATAAGCACAACCGGTAAAAAAAAAAAAATTTATATGTATAAAGACGAGAGCTGGCAGAGAACACAGGAAAATAAAAAGTTTGATTTGCTGATATGACTAGGACGCTGAATTTTTAAATTTTGGTTTGCATACGTTGGATACTTGGATACTAAGTAGGATAATATTTAAAGAAATTAAAAAAAAAAAAAACCCTGAACATAGGAGTTTGTGTTTCATTGTTGATGCTTGGGTTGGATCCATCCCTGGGGAAATAAATCATGTAATCAGAGGGCTCCTCCTCTATAAGAGAAGTGTTTTCCCAGCCATCAGTCTAAAAGGATAGTAGCCCTGTTTTGTGTACTAGTCCTTATCTCTAACACTGGTTAGTGCTTTATGGTTTGAGAATGACCCACTGAGAGAGAATAAAAACCTCAAAATATTTAGAAAAGAATTCACTGTTCTCAGAAGACTCATCGTTACATCAGATTATTTTAAATATACTGTTGTATCAGTCATAAGAAACTAAAAAGTTTATTTACAACCTTCCAGTTTTACTTATACACACACTACCAGGCCTTAGGAGTTAAATTGACCTCTATGAGCCTCAGTTTTCTTGTCTATAAAGGGCAAGTGCTGTACTGATTGGCAGTCAGAAGAATCAAATGTGGATCTCTAATAAAGATGGTTTGTTAACTGTTATGGAAAGTAAATTATTAATAATCCCACCCTGATATTAATTCTCAGGAATCTTGTTACTACATGGAGACTTTATGACTTAGAATTGACGACAAATATAAAAAAATTCCTATGAGGGATCCCTGGGTGGCGCAGCGGTTTGGCGCCTGCCTTTGGCCCAGGGCGCGATCCTGGAGACCCGGGATTGAGTCCCGCATCAGGCTCCCGGTGCATGGAGCCTGCTTCTCCCTCTGCCTATGTCTCTGCCTCTCTTTCTCTCTCTGTGTGACTATCATAAATAAATAAATAAATAAATAAATAAATAAATAAATAAATAAATAAATAAATAACTTCCTATGAGACAGCATCAAGGAATCATAGAATTTTATTTGCCAGAAGGGGCCTAAGATATATTTAAATTCAAATTTCTAGTGTTACAGATGAAGAAATTAAGGCAAAGGTTTGCATGTCTTGTTCAAGGTCATGCAGTGAGTTGGTGGCACAGTTGTGGTTATGGCTCATGCTGCCTACAGATGATATGGAGGGTGGGGGAGGAGGGAGCCTCAATTACATTAAAAAATATGTATCAAATATAAAAGAGCTCTGGGGGTGCCTGGCTGGCTCAGTCGGTGGTGCAAGCGACTCTTGATCTCTGGATTATAGGTTCGAGCCCCACATTGGGTGTAGAGAGTACTCAAAAATAAAACAGGAAAGCCTTTAAAATAATCGGATAATATATTCAAGAATGTATTAACAATCAGGACAGATGGGAAAGTGGAAAAATGGAAGCAAGTTAAAGGAATCACTACTCTTGGAGCATTTACTTAAAACGACCACTACCGAAGTTCCCTACTCCCCATCCTGAGGATAATCGTCATCATTTACCTATTTTATATTTCTGGGTATATTTTAAATAGGCAATACATTTTCATGCTATATTATTTTAAAGAAACTAAAAGGTATGCCTCGAAAATTTCCCCCCTCCCTCCCCCTCCCCCACTCCCCCCACTCTGTGGTCAGCTATGCTTGTGCAAGCAAATACTTACAAATACATTGGGTGCTTTGAAAGGAATGCTCAATTTACATTTAAAAGATGCATCCAGTTACAGAAGCCCAAGTCATGCAACACTGTGATATCTCTGTGCTTTGAGAAAGTGGGCTTCAGTTTTTACTAATACCTATTCCTGATTCTCAGATTAATCCAAGTCTTCGAGCCATCTTTAGAGTATCAAGTACTTTTAAGTAGAAGCACTTGAAGATCAAGGTGCTGACTGATCTCTAGTAGGTAAAATGATAGTTGATTCAGAAGAAAGAGACCCAGTCTGACTTCTGAGCCCTCCTATTTTTGGCTCATTGCTTACACTGAACTTAAAGTGTTTCATAAAGGCGACCATTCTTTGGCCAATTTCACATCTAAAGAACTGTCAAGCAAATTAACACATGTTAATATGGGTTTTTAAACTTGCCTTATGGCTAGATAGAAAAGATTTCCTTTTTCTGTCAAAAGAGAAAAAAATCTTATGTTTGGAATTTAAAAAGAATTCTTACAAAGCCTTTCTGAAAATACAGACTCGCTGCAGATTTCAGTACAACTCGATTTATTTTATGATACTCCTTTGCCTGAAAAATGCATTCCTTATACAGAAAGATAAGGAAGGTTCAAAAAGAAGGGTCAATTCCATGAAGCCTAATGAGATCTAGGGCTTTTATCTTCAATTCAGGTCATTTTTCTGTAGGCCTTTGAAAAAAAAAAAAACAAACAAACACTGGTCCCTTAGAAGGACCCTAAATATTGTTAGACCTTACTGGTCTTGAATGTTGCTATCACAGGAAGCTAGGACAGAGCTAAATTATTTTTTTCTGCCACATGGAGGCATTGAACAACCATGTGATTTTCAAAATTTACCAAGACTCCGGTAAAGTCTAGTGCTTTCTTAGGCTGGGGCAAAAAGGTTTGTTTGATGTTGACAAATGGATAGTGCTTAGTAGAGAAGCGGTTTTCCCAATTTATAATTTAGCATCTCCTTTATAGAGCACATTCCCTAAACAAACTAGCCACCTTCAACCTTCTTTACGTTTATAACATAAGGACTATATTGAAATATACTGGATTGCAATTCAAGCAGTTTTATTTCATTAATCTCTGAAACCTTTTCTTAACACTTTTGCAGTTTTCTAAGATTTGGGAGAATGAAATAGTAAGGAAAATTACTTTTATTTCATGTTCTTAATGATCTATTGTGAAACTTTTTTAAACATCACTTACCCCACAGTTCCATGGTGTGGCAAATCTATGGTCAAGGATTCAGTTTTGAATCCAAAATTTACCTCATTAATTGCAAAACCCCAGAAGCAATCAGCAGCAAAGATTCCAATCTTGACTTGCTAAGCATACATGACGACGTCTGACTTTATAGTAGACAGTACTCCTGTCTCAGCCACAAATCAATTAATCAACAAACATTTATAAATTGCCCTGTGTGTGCAAAGCACAGTACTGGGTGTTTCAGCAGGTATAAAGAAGTCTAAGAGGTTCTCTCTGGCCTCCAGCAAGGGCCAGGGGAGAAGGGATTATAGCAAAGCCTAGGAGGA